TTTTAGTCTTTTAATTCTTGCCACCTCACTTTGTAAACCAAGTTTGTCAAGCCACTTTGTACGAGTAGCATGATCGAAATATATATGTATATATGTGTATGCGCGCGCGCAAACGAACCTAACAAAATATATATACAATAAGTAAAAGAATCTTGCAATAAATTATGTAACAGAAAAATCCCATAATAGAAAATCAGGTGGAATTTCTAGAAAATTCATCCAGCTCATCTTCTTCAGGAACCTTCTTTCCTTCCAGCTTTCTAGAGTGTCCAAGCCTCGTTTCATTGCTGATTGTATCGGTTGCTTCCCACATTTTAACAGGAGGAGGAACAAAATGTTATTATACAGAAACTACAAAACTCCTGCCTTACCCACCTACTTAAGCAACATTTATCTTGAAACTATTAAGGTTAATCATCAGTATGGTTATGTCATCGTTATTTCCTCGTCCCGATGATATATCGACAAGCTTCCTGCAAGACTCCATTTGATTCCCCTCCCTTAAAACAACATCAACTGCCTCTTGTGAACTTATCTGCAATTTTGTTTGATCAAACAAATATTAATAAACTTTACTATTTGATTTCTTGTACATTAGTTAATTATAAGTTATTACCTTATCCCATAATCCATCAGAAGCCAAAATGAGAAAGTCACAATCTGATGTTAAAGGGAACTTCACAATCTCTGGCTCAGAAATAATCCAATCTTTCAAATGAATGTCTCCAAAAGCTCTAGAAACAGCAATTGATCCATTCACTCTACATACTCCATTATGAAAGTACAAAAAACCACCCTATATATGCACCAAAATGAAAACATTACCTAGTCAGTCTGTCTGTTACACTTAGTTAATCTCAGGAAAAAAATACTAATGAAAAAAATAAATTGTTACCGAATTTTCGATACGGGCACACTCGTCTTCCCGAGTTATAAGACGGTGATCGTTTGTCAATGTAACGGCATTTCCTTTCCTGCTCAAAACTGCTTTACAATCACCTACGTTTGCTGTATACAATTCTCCATTCTTCAATAGTACACCAACTGCACACGCTCCTCCATTTTCACCCTAAATTATCAGTCACGAGATTAAACTATATCGAGATTTAAATTTGTGATACACAAGGTCAAAATTAAATAAAAATTAAGTTTATTATGATGGCCGTCGTGATGTGACTAAGTCGATGCGTCAATTAATCAAGAATAGTTTCTTAATTAGTTGTAGTTAATTACATCACTCAACCTAACTTATAACCCTTGACTGTTTCAACTAGATATAAATGAAGTTCATTGAATATGTGTGAAATCTAACTCTAAACAAATAATTCTAATTGGAAATGATAAACGACCCTAATTGGCTATGTAGCCAGTGTAAAACCTATATTAATGCAACTTGAAAAATTAATTAATTTGTCACATAATTAGCTAGCTTACCTTAGAAAGGAACTGTTCGTCCGTGGCTGAGTATGCTCTGCGTAACGCCGCTTCTACCTCATTTCCAACAACTTGTAATTCATATGCTACGTTCTTTCCTAGATTTTCAGCTACATAATCAGCCGCAGCATGCCCTCCATGCCCATCAATTACAGCAAAAAATGCCTGCCAAATTTAACACAACAAACATTGACCTAATCAAAATTTAGCACAGCCCTTTTTCGGGTACGTAGTGCTATCTGTACTAAAAACTTGAAATTCAAGATTAATTATGATTAAGTGAGAGAACATAATCCAAGAAAATCCTTAATCAGAACCGAACTATTCTTGTTTGTATCAGTTCATAAACAGTTAAAAGTTTTATTAAAACTATTGGAAATTCATGATTAATTCATTGCCGATAGCAAACTATCCTTGCATCAGAAGTAATTCAACTCACACGAAAGTTCTAAAAAAGCCCGAAAAGTTTATATAGAATCTATTGAGACCCGTCCTAAAAGGTCGAATTATTAACATAATCTATTAATGGAATTAGATTAATAGAAATTCTGGATCATAAATTAACCGAACTATAAATTGTGGGTATTGAACTAACTTACTTGTGTAGGGTCACCTGCAATATCAAGCATGACTGCATGCCTATCTTCCATGACCTCTCTTGATCCCTTCTTGCTAGCCACAAAAAAGTCTCTTCCCTTAACTTCAAATTCTTTGTTGTCCAGCTTTTTCCCTCTATCGCCAAAATCCAATTCCCCCGAATAATCCGGTATAACCAGCTGCGCAGGCCTTTTTCTTGACATGGCCGACAGCCTAATTTCACTATTACAACTTCGCAAAAACTCTGTCGCTTCCATTGTCAACGATTCTTTGCCATATGCTTTATGAATACCCTTTTTAGCCTGATCATCCATGCATCGAATTTCTTCTCTCTTTGAGGCTTCTTCTTTGACCATGAAGCGGTTGGGCAGCCAAATAGATGCTGGAGGCCGCGGTGGAGGGGTAGAAGAAGAAGAAGGTGTTGGTGGCGAAGATAAGGCCATGCAGGTGGCTTTTATAAAATAGTCAAAAAAATTAACAACAATAGACACTATAGATATACAAAAAGAGAATCCTCCTAGTCCTACATCTATCATTTTTTCATCTAGACTTGAATTCGTGCAAGAAATTAACTTTTAAGGGGAAAGGAAAATGATGTTGAAACAAAACTTTGCTGGAAGAGGATGGTATAATTCATTCAAGTGGGAAATTCAATTAATATAAATAGTGAAGTTTGAAAGTTTCCATTATAGGAGTATAGATATAGATAGATATGGACAAAGAACCAATTGACGGGTCAAAGAGGGAAGATATTTTTGGCAGAAGGTTTTAACAGGTCAAAGGTGGGAATAAGGTGAAGTTTTCAATAGATTAATGGTTAAGGAAAGCTTTAAAATGGACACGACGACAAGTCATTAATTAAAGTATCTCCCAGCTTAATTATATTCACATGTATTTAAACAAATAAACGTCATGCATAATTATTTCTATATCAAATCACTATTTAGAAATTAGAAATTTTCAAGATAACATTATAAAAAGTAATTTTACCTTTAAATATAATTAACAACAAAAATTATCAAATTGCAATGTGCGAATTTGTTGTTAAATAACTTTGATCAGAGCTATAATTTCAAAGATTTTAAAAACCTTCCTTGGTGGACCTTTTCGATTTCTCTTTTTGTTTTTGAACGTATCATCATTTCACATTTAGGGTCCGTTTGATTGCAATGGTGGAAAATTGGTGAAAAGAAATGAATTACAGGGAAAGTAATTGCCTGAAAATTGTTTTTTAGGAAATTGTTAATTAAGTGTGTTTAATTGGTATAATTTTCCACCCGAAATTTTTTTGAAATTTTGGACTTTTTTGTTCATGTTTGGCTTTATTTTACATGGAAATTGTCCATTAAAGTGAAATTTTTTTTACAATTGATTACAAAATTCGTTACCATTGCCAAAAAGTAAAAAAAAAAAAAACAATATTTGCTCGAAAACTATTTTTTCATCAAAGTTTAGTATTCGTTTGACTTCGTTTTACATGGAAATTGTCCATTAAAGTGTAATTTTTTTTTTTTTGCAATTAGTTATGCAATTTGTTTCCATTACAAATAAAAAAAAAAGGCCACAACCTGGAATTTCCTTTTCCCACCATTTAATGGTGGAAAAAGGAATTCCCTAAAAGTATGGAAAATGGGCGCGTGGGGTGGGGGGAGGGAAAACCTTTTCTTGGCAAAAAAGCCATCAAACATGGCTTATGGGTGGAAAATGAATTATTTTTTCCCCATTTTCCAAGGAAAATATTGGCTATCAAACATAGCCTTAGAGAAAATTAGTCTCAAAACTCCATTATGCCCTTCTTTGAGCCCTATTTGTTTGGATTAATAGCTTTTGAAATAGTGATTTTTTTTAGAGAATATGCATTTAAAAAGTAGGAAAATTTTTTAATTTACGTATAAAATTATTTTATTGGGAGAATATATAATTAAAAATGAGTTTTGAAATTTATATACCCCAATTCCAGTCCCATTTTTACCAAAATTCATTTTTTTCAAAAACTCATTTTCAACTATACATTCTTTCGTAAAATAATTTTACACGTAAACCTAAAACTTTTCTCTCTTTTTTAACCATACATTATTTGAAAATCACTACTACAAAACCGATTTTTCTAAAAAAATGGGAGTGAAATAGGGACATAGTGTTGTGAATTAATACTATTTATGAATAACAATTGTATCACTGCAATCATAATTATAACATTTAAATATAGAATCTTGATTTTCAATAAAATACATAAGAGTTTTGACGCTTTCCCAATTCTCTTATATTGTTCTCTTTTTTCTTTGTTTTATAACACATTATCGGCATAATTCTTTTTCTTATTTATAGTATTGAACAAAATATCACCATATTTCTCATTCAAGATTTTTCTAAACGGCGTACTCGAGGTTTATAAATTTATCGAACCTAAAACCAAAGCAAATTTATTTTTGAAAATACTTTAGTTGTATTTTTGTAAGATTGTAGGTATATCATGATCTATAAAAATTTTCTTTAAATTTATTAAATCATGTGATTCAATTATGCCAATTCAAAAGATGCATAAATTTTTAAATATCAGTATTTTTTGAAAAATATATATATATTTTTTACTATTTTTAAGGAATCATGACTTTTATAAATTAGTATTTCAGAAGAATATTGTATCATTGGTTCTAAAGGGCGCAAATTCTAAAATTTATGTTTGCCTTATTCCGTCATGAAAGGATGGAATTGAACTAGTCACACCTATTCAAGGGTGGACCCAGGGGGCATGTGCCCCCAACTTTTGAGTTTTTTTTCTTTTTATAAATAGAATCATGTTTGGTATCGATTGAAATATAAATTTTAATCTAAATCAAAGTTACAATTAATTTTAATAACATATTTTATGAAATCCATAACTATTTAACTGTTATCAAAATTTACTAAAAAATCGATTGAAATATAAATTTTAATCTAAATCAAAGTTACAATTAATTTTAATAACATATTTTATGAAATCCATAACTATTTAACTTTTATCAAAATTTATTAAAAATTTGATTTTAATCTCTATCAAATGGGGCAAAATCACAATAGATTTTATTTTTTCTCTTCTTCTCTCGCCTTATAACAAAATATTAACTCTTCATCAAATAATTATGAAATATTGCATTTTTAATATCATTTCAAAGTGTTCACGGTCTAGTATTCTATGTCATTAATGACATACGAAACGATCAATCGTAGCAAATGCTACGACTTGTCAAAGTAAGCCGTTCAAAATTAGTATTTCGATAATATACTAACTTTAAAAATTCTTCTACTATCGTACGCTAATCGAATCTACAAATTACTTATATCAGCTCAAAATTTATTTCGATAACTACATTATAGGCATATCAAATAATCCAAACAGATCTCGAAAATAGTTAAAAATGCGTTAAACGTGAGTTTTAAATAAAGACGTTTAACTAGCATTTTCTTTAAAAAAATTCAATTATTTCATTAACATGTATTAAATGTTTGGTATCGATTGAAATATAAATTTTAATCTAAATCAAAGTTACAATTAATTTTAATAACATATTTTATGAAATCCATAACTATTTAACTTTTATCAAAATTTATTAAAAATTTGATTTTAATCTCCATCAAATGGGGCAAAATCACAATAGATTTTATTTTTTCTCTTCTTCTCTCGCCTTATAACAAAATATTAACTCTTCATCAAATAATGATGAAATATTGCATTTTTAATATCATTTCAAAGTGTTCACGGTCTAGTATTCTATGTCATTAATGACATACGAAACGATCAATCGTATCAAATGCTACGACTTGTCAAAGTAAGCTGTTCAAAATTAGTATTTCGATAATATACTAACTTTAAAAATTCTTCTACGATCGTACGCTAATCGAATCTACAAATTACTTATATCAGCTCAAAATTTATTTCGATAACTACATTATAGGCATATCAAATAATCCAAACAGATATCGAAAATAGTTAAAAATGCGTTAAACGTGAGTTTTAAATAAAGACGTTTAACTAGCATTTTCTTTAAAAAAATTCAATTATTTCATTAACATTTATTATTTTTGTAATACAAATTTCTCAATGTAATTTTCATCTTTTTATTAGAAAATTTTATATGGAATATGAAATAATTTTTTTTTTAAATTTTACATCTGAAAAAGTCATATCTCATGCAAATTTTCGGATGCAAAATTATATGGGATATGATTTTTTTGAACGTAAATTTTTTATGTAAAATTTCTCTCAATTTCTTTACAAGTTCGATTGTACCCCCCTAACTTTAAATTTCTGTGTCCGCCCCTGTACCTATTACCTATACCCTATCTTTGTGAATCAAGTTTATACAATTTATTGTTGTTTCTTTTGTTAATGAATCAACTTGCAAGATCCTGGCTTCTAGTGGATTTCGAGAACTCTTTCGCCAGCAAGACCTGTGTTCAAATATCTGGTTTGCTTGAAAGTATCTTATTTTTTTATTTTTCTTTTTGCGAAATAACCCCTTGTGCTCTTCTTTTAATCATTAGCAAATCTTTAAGTCCTTCGTGCTTTTATGTTTTCACTCTTTTCAACTTTTTTCTATTAATTACTTTCGAGTCCAAATTACCAACAAATATAGTTGTATTTGTCGGATCATCCTCACTCTCAGTTCCTTGAGAATTCTGGTAGGAAGCTTTGGTGTGGCCACCAGTTGTTTGTTTGTTAGCGGCTGGACCAATACGCATGGGCCTGCTTGAACAAAACCTTCCATTCATCTTAGTCGTTGCACACAAATGTTCACTTTCGCTAGAAACTCGACAAATCCATAGCCATTTGTGCGTCCCGTTAGCCTGTCACTTACAACATTCGCGCTTGTTAAGATTTGGGGTTTCATCTTAAAATGTCAACCTTATTAAAATGAGTAGCCAAAACTCTTAAAAATTGGTCTACATTTTCATCTTTATTCGATGTGAAATTTTATCCCTTAAAAGGTCAACCTTATTAAGATGGTAGCTCGTTTGAGTACACCAATCTTGAAATTCGTATGCTTAATTTTTGAGTGTTAATTGGATCGAATTATTCGTTGGAGTTTAACGGGTTCTGATTCCATGTTAAGATTTGGTGTTCCATTTTAAAAAGTCAACCTTATTAAGATGAGTAGCACAAACTCTTATAAATTGGTCTATGTTTTTATCTTTATTCAGTGTGAGACTTTATCTTTTAACAACCTTCACAGAAGAGTAATTGACCCTAAATATTTCTTGAAGCATGTAATCAATAACATCAGTAGCCAAATCACCAACAAATATAGTGTTAGAATTTGGGTGTAACCTGGATTCCTTGTTGAAGTAATTGAAGAAATCTAATTGAAGTCCACGTCAAAAAGAATTCAATTTGGAATGCTATTGGAGTCATATATCAAGTTAAAGTTCTATTTTGGAAGCCAATTGGGAGTTGAAATTTGTT